GCCTTTCCTGGAACTCACTTGGTAGCCCAGGCTGGCCTCGAACTCACAGAGATCCTCCTGCCTCTGCCTCTCGAGTGCTGGGATTAAAGGCGTGCACCACCACCGCCCGGCTACAAAGCATTTTAATAGAACACACATATGAAAGTTTTTCAAAGTTAAAAATAAAGTGACTGAAACACCTCTGGGGATGTCCATGAGGTCAGTTCCAAAGTTCATTAGATCCTGGGGCCTAATACTAATCAAAGGCTTAATGCATGAGTGCATTCAAAATCTGAGTAGAGCTGGATTGCTAGAGGTTTGTTTTGAAGATTATAACTTTTTGTTTGGTTGGTTTTTGGAGACAGGCTTTCTCTATATAGTCCTGGAACTCTGTAGAGCAGACTGGCCTTGAACTCAGAGATCCATCTGCCTCTGATTGCTTAGTGCTGGGATTAAAGGCCTGCACTACTACCTCTAGGCCTGAAGATTACATTGTGATAATGGCTCTTACCTGTTACCCTCTGATTCCTAAGTAAGCATCTCTTACTCATACAATGCATGCCTAACATTTTGGCATTATGATGTTATTGTCTACACAGTTCATGTTCAAGAACTACAACTGAGTTTTTTTAAGTGCACAAAAAAATCTTCTAAGTAGGTAGGTTTATAATTTTGTGTTGGACTGAATTCATAGCTATCCTTAGTTACATGTGCCTGTATACTGCCCTTGGGCCACAGGTTAGGCACAGCTGTCAGTGATCACACACTGCTCCCATGGTGCTCTGCCACAACCACAGCCTAGAAACAGAAGTCTAATTATAGATTTGAACTTTTGAAAGTCATCAAAAAGAAAAAATAATTTTCCTCCTGAGAACCAATTAAAAAATGTATTTGTCACAGTATTAATGCCAACTCATAGAGTAGGTTTAGGAGGAGCCAGAATTTTTTGGACTAATCTGAAGATCTCTGAAGCAGTTGTTAGCAATGGTGACTGGAGTAAACCTGATTACAGTGGGTCAAATAGTGAACAGCAAAGAATGAAGGAATAGCCATGACTTGGACCTTTTATAACATGTTCTGGGGTTGCCTTATGGGTAGTTGCTTACCAGTTCCATGGGCTTTGAGTAGTAATTACTGCAGCCCTAGTCTATAGGGGTTCTCTTTAGTTATCTGCTGTGGCCTTGCAGTCTCTCCCTTTTCTCCTTGTAGCAGTAGGCAAGCCCCGTGCCCTGATGGTCGACTAAAGGATGCTTTCAGTCTCATAGCCCCTTCCTGTCTGACTCCTAGCACACAGGCTGTCAAACAGTATGGAACCTCACCCCATAAACATCCATGAGCAAGAAATCTACAGCGATCCTGTCAAATTGTAACTCTCCAAATTAAACAAAATGCATCTGAAAAGTAATTTGTCTCAGCTTTCTATGGGACCCATTTCAAGTTAAAAAAAAAATTCAGGACATGATTGACTGCTACTCCTTTTTATCATTATAACTTGGGGAAAGAATATCCAAGCACATATAGTTGGTGTTTGGAACAGGTAAAAAGCACCTTGTCCTAAGTACTGCCATTTTGACTTCAGATTCCACTGTACCTGTAGGGCAAAACAAAGTTCATGTTCCCAAGCCCTAGCAGAGCTGGGAACTTTCCAATAGTTGACCCACCTCCTCCTTAAGCCATAGAAATTATTTCTTGTGGGCCACAAGAATATATTATAGAGATTCAGCTGTATATTAAAGCTATACCTAGAAATTTCAAGGCATTTTTCCAGAGGAAGCCATTTATCAAGGAATATTTGGTGTTACTTAGTATTTATTTATTTATTTATTTATTTATTTTTTAAAGATTTATTTATTTATTATGTATACAGTGTTTGGTCTGCACATATCCCTGCAAGCCAGAAGAGGGCACCACATCTCATTACAGATGGTTGTGAGCCACCATGTGGTTGCTGGAAATTGAACTCAGGACCTTTGGAAGAACAAGCAGTGCTCTTAACCTCTGAGCCATCTTTCCAGCCCTGTTACTTAGTTTTTAATATTTCAGCTGTCTTCTGCTATGAAATTCTTATGGACCCATGTACTACTAGACCATATTGGCAAACAGTGTAAGCTTCTCAGACACTCATCCCTAGGTAACTTATACCCCTGCAGGGCCTAGGCAACAAGCAGGCTGTAGATAGGTAGCTTTGTTTCTCATGCAAATGAAGCTCAGACCTCCTTTTCCCAGACAGGGAAAATGGTATTCCAGAGCAATTAACTCAGAACAAAGGAGGTTCTTGCATATCCAGGTAGAGTGAAGGATGGGGCAGGATTCCTGGTAGAGCAGAGAACAAGGAGATTTTCTGTAGATGGGAAGGCAGAATCACTCAGGCTGAGGAGTAAGGAGCAAGGAAAAGTTTCTTGTAGATTGTAGGTGAATCAGGTCAGGAGGAGAAGAGGAAGGAAAGATGGAGGATGGAGGAACGGGGGATGAAGATGAGATAAAAAGCATAAGGGCTTAGTTATTATTAGGGCTATAAGGGGACAGAAAAAGTGGGTACAGAGAAAGGAACTGAGTCAGGATGGAACTGAACCTGTACAGATAGAATTTTGTCTTAGAGAAATAAAGTAGTGTATGAAAGAGCATGGTGTACACAGACCCTTTTCCCTCAGATAACACCCCCCACCCCCTCCCACCCCCCCACCCCCCGCCGGACATAGCATCTTCCCCAGGACTCTGGGAGGAATCTTCTCAGGGAAGGCCCTTGGGAAAATTCTGTTAGTTGTTATGCATCTTTAGTTCTTTAGAAACATTATGGTTGTTCCTAACAACAAAAAGAACAAATGTGTCTTATTGAACTGAAAAGCTTGTATTCTATGCTGATTGACAACTGATGGAACACTTTAGGAAAGCCCCTAACCTTTGAATTATGATTGGTGAAAAATTGTAACTGGAGCTTGGCAATACATGTTTGTGATCTTTGTGCTTAAATACTTGCTTCAGCTGGCATTTGGGTCACAGTTCAGCTCTTA